GATTAAAAAAAATTGTTTTCCCTACAATCTCCTCCTCCTAGGGGAGGAACTCATATGTCACTGAAATATTTAACTCATTTTTCTTTAAACTCAATACCAGCAGCTACATACCTATTATTCTAAGTTATCTGGATTCCTTAAGTACTGCTGTTTTGTTGATCATGAATGACCCTCAGGCACTGGTCCTCTGGGAGTCAGAGAGAGCACGTTACTACAGTCATGTTGTTCAACATACTTTATCTCCAGTATTCTGACACCAAGTGTCAACTGTGGTACTTCCTTCGCCTAGCATATTCATAATTTTTTCTTTTTGTTGTTGGTTTTTACCCTTTCTGTTGATTTAAACTTACACATTATTTTTACTCCTTGTGCCCAGTAGTCATTTATTCCAAAGCCACTGGACCACTTGAGTACATAAGTGCCACTGTTGAATGAAATGTGTATGTTCAGGTCTGTAAACCTAATAGTGTGACTTGGAGTGCTTCTTGCAGATGACTGACTGCTGAGTATTTACACGTACCATGGTGATATCCAAAAGTAAAATGCTTTTGTATTTATAGATTATTTCGTTGAACTATATAAAATGGGTATCAATAAATGTATTTACACCAAAAAAAAACCCTTAATGAAAAGGAGACAGTAATTTAGTTGGTAAAAAGTTCAAAGTAATTGTCATAAAGATGCTCACTGAACTCAGAACAATGGATGAACACAGTAAGAACTTCAACGATGAAACAAAAAATATAAGAAAATACCATATGTCTATTTGTCACAGAGCTGAAGACGACAATAACAGAACTAAAAAATATACTAGAGGGATTCAACAACAAATAGATGAAGCAGAAGAAGTACCAGTGAACTGAACGACTGGGCAGTGGAACTCACCCAATGAGAGCAGCAAAAACAAAGGGACAGAAAACTTATTTGAAGAAATAATGGCTCCCTAACCTGGGAAGGAAACAGACGTCCAGATCCAGGAAGCCCAACAGTTCCAAATAGGAGGAATCCAGAGACTCACACTAAGGCACAGAAGTCTGGAAACAGTGCTCCAACTCTGAAGAAGTGAGTGGCTCTCAGAAAGGCAGAAAAGCAAGCAGAAATACATCTGGTATGTCAAAAGTTTCAATTAGGGTACACACATTTCAATGATTTAAAGTTTTACATAGAAAAGACTATCACAGAAGGAATATATAGAAAGATAAAGCTGAGTTGCAGGTGTCAGGGGGTCTCAAAACAATCAAATTGCCTTGAAGCTCTTTGAGGTGCTTTTTACCAGAATGTAGAACAGGCACTGCTTTTCTGTCATCACTGACTTTTTCTTTTAAATATTTTTTCTTTATTGATTTTAGGGAGAGGGAAAGAGAGACAGAAATATCAATGAGAGGGAATATCTACTGGCCGCCTCCTGTATGCCCCCCACTGGGGACAGGTCCATAACCTGGGCATGTGCCCTGATCAGGAATCGAACTGGCGACCTCTTGGTGCATGGGTTGATGCTCAACCACTGAGCCACAAAAGCTGGGCCGTCATCATTGACTTTTAGTGTTGAAACCTTGAAGGATTTATACCTGTCTAGCCCCCATGCTTTTGCTTCAGGAAAACATTTTAGGGAGGCTCTTTCTTGGTTACTTATTTAGTTAGAGGAGTTTAAGCACCTTTTCTTTTCCTCACTGTCATACGAGGGAGTAATACTCAGTAATAAAAAGGAACAGATTATTAATATATACAACAGTTCAGATGAATCAAGAGAAATATGCTTAGTGAAAAAAGTCAGTCCCAAAAGGCTGCATATTGTATGATTCAATTTATATAAACGACATTCTTGAAATGACAGAATTGTGAAAATAGAACAGATAAGTGGTTGTCAGTAATTGAGGAGGGGCTGGAGATGGAAGGAACGTGAGGGAAACTTGTGGTATGGAAATGTTCTGTATTTTTATTTTATCGGTATAAATATCCTTCCTGGTTGTGATACTGTACCATAGTTTTGTCATTATCATTGGAGAAAACTGGGTAACGGGTACAGGGAATACACACACACACACACACACACACACACACACACACACGTGTGTGTATTTACTTTAAATCCTCACCCAAGGATATTTTTCTATTTATAATCAGATAGAGTGGGTGGGAGGGAGGGAGAGAGAGGAGCGGGGGGACATTGATGAGAGACACACAGCGACTGGCTGCATCCCACACGACCCGATCAGGGCCGGGACGAACTGCAACAGAAGTACATGCCCTTGGCCAAAATCGAACCCGCGACTCCTTGGTCCACGGACTGACGCTCTAACTACTGAGAAAAACCGGCAAGGTCACAGGAAATTTCATATAATTTCTTACAACTACAATAATCTTAAAAAGTTTAATTAAAAAAAAATCTTAAAAAAAGAAAGGCTCCTTACCTGCTAATTCTGCAATACCTGGTCTATGTTCATCTATTGCTATATACTCACTTCTACTTGTCATTCAAATCAAATTCTTTCTATTCTCTTGGATTATTTGACTTATTTTATTCAGCTAATACCCCTCAAATAAAATTACTCTTGCTAAGGTCACTGATAATCTTCCAACTTCAACACAAAATTGAAACTTGCTAGTTTAATTTACCTAGCCTCTACGTTATTTGACACTGATAACTAGTTTACTCCCCTTCCATGAAAACCCTCTATCTCTGCTTCCATGACAACACCCTCTGCCATTTCTCCTTCTGCCTCTTGAGCTGCTTCTTCTTGGGGCTAGGGGCTGAGGGATGAGGAGAGGGGTGGTTCTCTTTTTTTCCCTGATTAGTTCTCAAACGCCTATTTTGTCGAGAATACAATTCTATTCATGTCTTATATATGCTCCACGAGCACAACAATTATCAGTCATTCTATCTACAAGTTGAAGTGCAAGCATTTATTATCAATATCTAGCTATGGTTCTGGAGCAATATGAATGTCCCATACAAAACTCAAATACAACATATTCCAGACTGGACTACCTCCTCCTAGTCTCACCAATCAAAAAAAAAAATTTAAAAATCTGTTTTCCATATTCCTAGTCTTAACCCCAATATCTAAAATATTTCTATCTTTACAATTCTTCTCAGTATCTCAACTTTCTCCCTCTTTTCCATGTCTTCTATAAGTTTCTTTCTTTCTTTCTTTTTTTAATCCTCACCCAAGGACATTTTTGCATTTACCCTCAGATAGAGCAGGAGGGAAAGAGAGAGAGAGGAAGGGAGAGAGAGAGAGAGAGAAAAAAACATCAATGTGAGACACATCAACTGGTTGCCACCCACACAACCCCAACCAGGTCCGGGGGCAAACTGCAACCGAGATACGTGCCCTTAGCAGGAACCGAACCCGGGACCCTCTGGTCCACAGGCCGACACTCTAACCACTGAGCCAAACTGGCCAGGGCTATAAGTTTCTTAATTTAATCAAATTCTAATTATCTCTTATTTGGCATATTTCCTGACCTGGATCCCTTCTATTCTTTATACTGTTTGCAGGGAAATTTTACTAAAAACTAATCTGATAATGCTGTGGTGCTTAAAAATCTTCCACGGCTCCACAATGTTTCAGTAAAAAGTCTATAAATTTTTTAGCCTAACATGTATAACCTCTAAACCTCTACCTACTTTCTATAATTATCTCCTATAGCTTATCCTTCTCTGCTACCCCCTAGCCCAGAGGTTCTCAACCTTCCTAATGCCGCGACCCTTTAATACAGTTCCTCATGTTGTATGTGGGCATACTTGCATGTGGGTGGATCCACCTAGAGATGGATAAAGGAGCGGTATCTTGGTTCCTAAGACCATTGGAAATGTGTATTTTCCAATGGTCTGAGGCGACCCCTGTGAAAGGGTCGCTCGACCCCCAAAGGGGTTGCGACACACAGGTTGAGAACTGCTGCCCTAGCCTCTCTAAGCCATTTGGAGTTTCCTAAATATGCCATATAGTTTTCTAATTAGAACATTTAATCACACTATTCACTTTTCCTAGAATACAACTTTCCTATTGAATTGTCTCCTACTGACCCTTGTCACACAGCTCTAGCATCCCCTTTTTTAGAAGCCTTGCCAAACTTCTCTTATCCCACAGTGGCCATCTGTATTTACCTAGCAGACATTACAGTATCAATACTACTGGTTTCCTCTTTAATATTCTCTAGCACACCAAATATTCCCAGAGAGTTGGGACTACAATTTATCTTTGTATCCTCAATGCCTAATAAGAATAAAGAGTTGAATATGTTGAATAACTGTTTATTAGATTGATGCATAGTAATAATTTATTCAGCGTCTTTCAAATAAATGGAAGTCCCTTTCTAACTCTTATATGTTTCCTTTGCATCACAACTCACTTTGATTCAGAATATTTAGGAATCATTCTCCAGTGATGACACAAATTCCCTAATATAACCCACACTGATTTTTCTACACCAATAAGATCATTTTAATACTATATTTATATGAACATATTTATGAGTTTTTTCTGGTCTCTCATATTAGAACTTCTAAGAAGTAGGGGATTCTGTAATCTTTTTTTTTTTTTATCCTCACCTGAGGACATTTTTCCATTTTTTGTTCAGATAGAGCGGGAGGGAGAGAGAGGAAGAGAGAGAGAGAGAGAAACATCGACGTGAAGGGACACATCGAGTGGCTGCCACTCGCACGACCAACCAGGGCCGGGGACAAACTACAACCGAGGTACATGCCCTTAGCGGGAACCAAACCCGGGTCTCTCTGTACTGTAGGCTGACGCTCCAACCGCTGAGCCAAACCGGCCAGGGCGGGGATTCTGTAATCTTAAGGACACAGTAGCTATATGTATCTAGGAACTTTATAAGTACTAGCTAAGTCTTTAAAATAAACATAAAAGATGAGTGCTAAAAATAAAATAACTGGGTTAGTTACTAGAGATCAAATTCAGCTATTAAAATGATAATACTGCAAAGGTATCATCTTTTTATGTCCTATCTCAGCTCTAATAGGCTTCCAGACTGACCTTCTTCTTGTTGAGCACTCTCCTTCTTCTTCTGCTACCCATCCAACATCAGCAAAAGATGCCACTGCATCCTCCTCTGGGTGACTGGGACTCCCTTCTGTTGTAGGGCTGGTAAGCTATAAATTATAAATAGGGAAAGATTGTCATCTCACACCAAAATATTAGAATAAAACTTTTTAATGACCTAAACGAAAATCATGAGTTTTAGTGTAACAAACATATGGGCACAGTTTCATCTCTATTAAAGGTCCCCATGAAAGGGACCATTAGTTACATCATCTGTTGCCTAATAATGTATGACGATCTTTGAATTATAATTTAACTTTATTCAATTTTTATTTTACAGTTCAAATGAGACTGGTTTTTTAAAAACTCTGGTCATCCTAAAACATTAAGAAAAATTTTTTGAATTTAAGCATTAAAAATCATTTCTTCCAGTCAAGGCACATACAAGAATCAACCAATGAATGCATAAATAAGTGAAACAACAAATCAGTGTTTCTCTCTCTCTCTCTTTGTGTGTGTCTCTCTCCCTTTCTATCTAAAATCAATCAATAAATTATTTTTAAAAATAAAAATCATTTTTTCTGAAGAGATCTGGTTTTAAAAAGTAGTATAGGAACAATAACAAGTGACCAATTTGTGCTAAATCTAGGAACATTTTTAAACAGATGTGTATAGATATGTTGTTATAATGCTGAAAATAGGTTAATTGAAAAATCCTTGTAGCTCTTGATTTTTAAATAAAAGTATTGATTATGCTAAAGAACAAAATATGCAAGTAGCAGTAGAATAGAATTCTCCAGCTAACCTTAAACACATATGAAAGAACAGAATATTTTGAAATAAATACAACAAAGAAAAAGTATGCAAGTTCTGAAGTTTACCTTAAAAAATGGAAATATAATTGAATTAAATTTTTGTTATAGTGTAATGCCCAATCCAGATGGTCAATGGATAATAATTTTAAAATAAAGTTATTAAATTTATATAACACTTCCAACAAGTTGAAATGAGGTTTTAAGTGAAAAAAGAAAATGAAGATTTTTAAATAAAGAAAATAATATAAAAAAGATTTACTTATTAATGTATTTATCAAAACGGTGTGCCATAATCTATGCTTTGTTTGAACCTAAGGTTTTCATTGCCAGATCAAGCTTCTGGAAGCTAAACTTAAATAATGCTTCTTCCTCAAATGTAAAACATATCATGCAAACATAATACTAATATAGTTTAAAGTTTAAAATATCTTTATTATGAATAAAATTTTAATGAAACATATTAGCTGCTGATATATATATACCCATTATGTATCATAATTACCTATCAACTTAATAAAGCAGCATTAGAAAACTGACATTTTAAATAATATACAAGAACATCAAGTATTTTAAACACCTTAAATTGGCTTCTGGGGAGGACAGGGATACAGGCAAGAGAGAAAACACATTGTATTAAGAATAGAGATTTAAAAACCTAATCCTGAGCAAAAACAAAACTACTACTAATGGAATGAACATGAAAAGGCTTTCAAAATACCAATGTTTTGCATGCAGTGGAATAACTGGTCAGCATCAGTAAATACATCATCAAGGAAGATGATCAAAGAAAAACTAAAAATGAGATTTTTGTACTTTATGTGCTTCAGAAATTTATGCATGTGGAAATAAAAACAAACAAACAAGTAATTCAGACCCTGGCCAGTTTGGCTCAGCAGTTAAGTGTCGGCCCTTGGGCCCCACTGGTGTGGCTGAGTGGTTGAACGTCGACCCCATGCACCAAGCAAAGGGTTGCCAGTTCGATTCTCGGTCAGGGCACATGCCCAGGTTGTGGGCTCGAGCCCCAGGGGGAGCATGGAGGAGATGGCCAATTGATGTTCTCTCTCATCAATGTTTCTATCACTCTCTCTCCCTGAAAAAAAATCAATAAAAAAAAAAAAGTGTTGGCCTTCGTACCAAAGGTTCAATTCCTGGTCAAGGGTGCATTCCTGGGTTGCAAGTTTGATCCTGTGAGGGAGGCAACCAATTGATGTCTCTCTCTCCAATCAATGTTTCTTTCTCTCTCCCCCTTCCACACTATCTAAAAATCAATGGAAAAATATCCTCAGGTGAGGATTAACAAAAAAGAAACAGACATTCAGGAAAATGGGTATCATATATAACTGAAATAACTTCACTGAAGTAGCACCACATCTGATCTCAACAGCCTGAGAAATCTGGTAATATTCTGTTCCTAACCATTAGTGAGAACAGAATGGTATAATAATATTCCTGTAATATTACAATAGGGAGATTCTACGCGGGTTATGTGGAGATCCTTGAACAAGAAGATCCCCAAGCCCTGTAGAAGTTCCTAGATGATAGCGTATTAACGAGCTGTTTTGTACAAGAGAGAGATCATAAAAGTAAAATCTGGATGATGCTTTTCTAAGGTGCTAGTTCATGAAGAGCTATCCTCACCTAAGGACATTTTTGCATTTATCTTCAGATAGAGTGGGAAGGAGAGAGGGGGGAAGTAAGAGAGAGAAACATTGATGTGAGAGAGACATACCAACCGGTTGCCACCCACACAACCCCAACCGGGGTCAGTGACAAATTGCAACTGAGGTATGTGCCCTTAGTGGGAACTGAATCTGGGTCTCTCTGGTCCACAGGCTGACACCCTAATCGCTGAACCAAACTGGCCAGTGCAGTTTTTGCTTTTTTAAAAAATGTAAATTTAATCTGAGACTCTGGGCTGTATGATTTTTCAATTTGAGAGCATTTTCTACTGATATATCTCTATAATAGTCATTACTTATAAACAAAATATTTACTTTAAACTACTTTACTAAAATAGTATTATTAGATGTGAGCTTTTCATGCATGGAACAATGTTATGTTTGCCACAATGCAAGTGACCATAAAAAATTACATATCTCTGTGGTCATTAACACTATGACAAGTATGTCTTTGTTCCATTCATGAAATGACTAAGGTATCACATGAGAGTGTTCAAATTGTTGTAAATGGCATTTCCTCATATAGTTATATTATCATGAAAAAGATGTGGCAATTATGGTGGTAACATAAAATTATAAGAGATCTAATGTAAAATATATTTAGTTTAAAATATACTGATGGCTGGGTATTTTTGTTGTTCATTTTAAATCCTCACCCAAGGATATGTTTATTGGATTTTAGAGAGAGGAAAGGAGAGAGAAATATCAATTGGTTGCCTTTCATACATGCCCCACAACCTAGGCATATGCCCTAACTAGGAATCAAATGGCTGCGACCTTTCAATATATGAGAGAATGCTCCAACCAACTGAGCCACACCAACCAGGGCCGATGGCTAGATTTTTGGGGTTTTTTTTGCATTTATCTTCAGATAGAGCGGGAGGGAAAGAGAGAGAAACATCGACGTGAAAGGGACACATCGAGTGGTTGCCACCTGCACAACCCAACCAGGGCCGGGGACAAAATGCAACCGAGGTATGTGCCCTTAGCGGGAACCGAACCCGGGCCTCTCTGGTCTGCGGGCCGACACTTTAACCGCTGAGCCACACCGGCCAGGGCTGATGGCTGGTTTTAATACATTTGATTATGGATATAACCTGACCAAAACAATAATTACAAATATTGCCACAAGACACACTTTTTAGAGTTTGTGTTAAAAGACGTCATTAAACATATATATTCTTCATAAGCCTACCAAGTTGATAAATCCCATCACCCAGTGGTTGGTCCCTGTGGTATATGTTTCAGACAGATTAATAACTTGCAAAGATTTTTTTAAAAATTGAATATCACTGATTTCCAGGACTAAAACCCATTTCTAACTTTCATTTGCTAATTAAGTTGCTAAATGTTATCATCAAGCCCTAATGTTGTCTGGGATTCTATAGCTTTTGAATTGAGTATCACGATCACCCTGTATGTCATCTAGCAACTGTGTTGGAGTAAAATTTTTAAATTATTATAAAAGCCTTGGCCAGTTTGGCTTAGTGGTTAGAGCGTCGGCCCATGGACAAGTCACAGGTTTGATTCTGGTCAAGGGCACGTATCTTGGTTGCAGTTTGTCCCTGCCCCTGGCCCTGGTTGGGGTCCTACAGAAGGCAATCAGTCGGTGTGTCTCTCTCACACAGATCTCTCTCCTCCTCCCACTCTGTGTGAAGATAAATGGAAAAATATCCTAGGATGAGGATTAAAAATAAATAAATAAAATTATTATTAAAAAAAAGAAAGACCATTTCAGTTGTTGCTGAAGTGTGCACTGAGTAACATAAGCACAGAATGAGGACAACTCAGTTAATAAAGAACCGGTTAAGGTGCAGTCAATGCAGGCAAGGGGAATGACAATATGAAATTCTTGAAGTACGATTTAGACGCCACTACTGACATGCATGAATGACTGATGGGAAATTTGAAAAAGAAAAGGCCAACTTACTGAAGGTTCCAGCAAGGTCCTGTCCTACCATGGCTATTGTTAGTAGGAAAAAAATTTTAAAAATGGTGAAAGGAATAGAATTTTTTTAATCAAGGGCATTATAAAACTTTAAATTAAAATTAGTGCTTACTGATTTCTAAGCGTCCAAATTCCTTTCAGAAAGTATGGAAAAGCATTTCAATCAGAGTAAAGATTCAGTAGTAGTATTGTATTTTTACTATTTTAAGTAGTTCAACTGAACATTTCATACAATTTAAATAATCTAATATCCAATTCTATTTCAAAATTTTTACTGAAATAACTCAGATAATATATTCTAATAATGTAAAACTACACTAAGGCAATCGATTCATTTAATAAAATGATTAAAAGAAATATACAAAGCATGAACAAGAGTTGAAATACTTAGAATGAAATATTAAGAGTTAACTTAGTTCACATGTAACTTCATAAAATAAACACACTGGTACAAGGATGCTCTCAGTTTCTTGCCCAAAAGGATGTAATAGTAAACAGACTCAGTCTATTTTACCACCATTTGTTCATAGCCAAATACAAAACATGTATTCTTAAAATGAACACAGTAAATAATCTCTAGCTTTTTTCTTACAGACTTCATTATTCCTTTTTCTTTTTTATCAATTCCTACCATAGTAAGAAAAACAGAAAACAAAATTTCTGAATTTTAACATGACATACAGTGACAGCAGTAGCCCAAGAGATGTATCTGTGCAAAGAACACCAATCTGAAGGATATAATACTCAAATATTCTAGCAGAGACTCAGCCACTACTTTCTGAGTATTAATGCTTTCTATTCATGACACACCTAGAATGGGGGCAGGGGTAGTGAAGAGGAAAGGGAGGAGGAAAGTGACCAGAGAGATAAGAGGGAGGAAAATTTGTCTCTCTCTCACAATAACCTAGGAATTAAGAAACAGTATCCCAGGGTCCAACTGTGATTCCCCAGTTCTACACTTTCTATAGTAGTATTTACTCATGTTATACTTCTAGACAGTTCAAATACATTCCATATCAATCAAATTCCCCAAATGAGACATAAAAATAGCAAAAATGCATTTTCAATTTTATTACTCTAAACTGCATCCTTTATGATTTGAAGACTCTACATTTTTAATATTTCTGATGTATTAAAATAGAAGATACAGAATAAAAATAGCAGATTTATAATATGTAAGTAACAGATAAAATACCCACTTTAATACTGATATTGAATTTGAAATGACTCAGTATGCTACAAAACTGCCTGGAAATAAAAGTCTCACTATAAACAAGTATGTCTTCTGTCTTCCAGTACATTCTCAAGCAAGCGACCAATATTTTTATCTTACTTTATTCCTCTCCTTATGTTATCTATCTCTTTTCCAATAAATCTAAATAAAATTAGATTTATTTTCCAATAAATCTAATAGTCTTTTATTCTATTCATACCCTTTTAAGTAACTAATAACAATGAGAAAGTGTTATTTCCTTCTAAGGAAAGGTACCTGGCTCTAGTACTTCAGCTAACTGTCAAGGCAGATTTGGGTTGCTACCAGAAAATGCTAGATTATCTCCATGTCCTGTTACATGAACACAAATGTTGAAGCAAGTTCTTCTGCAACTAGTTTAAGTAGATAAATATGCAAAAAGAAAATTTTAATGGAACTGAGCAAATCAGAAAAAAAAGTTAACAAGTCTTAGTAAACACAATAGATACTTGAAGGAAGTTAAATGAACTGAATTCTTAGAGATTGTGCTGGAGAGACTCACTACCACAGATTTCTTTAATTTGAAAAATTACTTTTTAGAAAGTTCTAAGCTGTCAGTTTCTAGACTGATGCACAAAAGTTTTCCCAGTCAATTTGTAAGTGGGACTATAGTATAATAATGAGCAACTTACTAGTCAAACTGATCAAACACTAATTGCTACCACTTACTTAGGAACATATTTTTTTATTTTTTACCTCTATCTACCAGGAAGAGTGGTTTATGAGTATGACATAATATCAAATAAGCTCATAGGGGTACTTTTGAACTTTTAAATTAAGAGTTAAATATATCTTATGCATTTTACATGCTAATCTATTATTTAAATTGGTATAAATATATGTTGAACTTTATATTCTTAAATGTTGAACTAAAAGGTTTTGTGTATAACTGTTGTACAGAATTAATGAAAAACAAAGCTATGTGATGCATGTCTAACACTACAACAGCAATAAAGAACAAAAGCCCAAATCAAGAAAATCGCAATTTATCTCCAAGCAAAGAGTAGGGTTAGTTGTCCCTGATTTGGTGCTAGAATGCTAAAACCTAAATAAACATTCTAAATTATTCCTAATTCAGGGTTTGACTATCACCACATTCAGAGAACCACAACTACCTGTCTTTACACTGTTGTTGCCAAGGCAATAGTTCCCACAAATAACGCTAAACTTTAAAGGAAGGATGGAGAAAGCAACTTACATAGCAGGCACAGAAACATCTAAAAATAAACTAGAGGAACAGAGTAGCTGTCCAAAGAGGAAAGTGTAATAACTAAAGAAAATAATGTAGGTACCTGAAGCTCCTAGAGCAATATAAGGCCTATGTTTGAGGTCACCTGGGAAATTAACAACTGCTTGGCTTAGTATGTGCTTCTAAATCCTCACATATGTATTCTTAAGAAGGATAAATGTCTTCAAGATTTTGAATAATCACTTCGCAGAGAAACTAAGATTAGAAAGACTTTACTTTGGTTTTTATCCTCTTTTGTTTTATTGACAGTAGCATTAATAGGGGGAAAGGGTCAACAAATACTATTAAAGCTGTTTTGCCTATTTACATTTCTAATGAACACATTAATACAAAATTTGGAAATACACAGTACCTGAAACTGAACTCTTGGACACTGGATCAGAGATAAATTACTACCAATTTTCCTTACAATACTTCGAGATGAACCATATGGCTTCCCAGACCAAAGTACCTGAGGAAGTAGGAAAAAAACAAAAGTTTAATTATATGACTTATAATACTGTTAATACAAAGCACTGGACAATTACTTGCATAATATGCTGACACATTAATTACAGAATCATAATGTCTAAATGTTATGGTAAATGAGCTAATGCTTCTCAATTTAAAAAAATTAAAGAATAAAGATAAAAAAAGGGAATAATTAAAAAGAGAAAAAAGAAAATTATCTATATATGGTTGATTATTATTAATGCAGGCATTATATAAAAATACAGAAAAGTAACCACTAATTGTAAAATACTACATTTGAAGTAAAAGCGTTAATTATTTTCATTAAGTTTTTATACTGTTCTGCAAAGGAAATACTATTTTACTTCTGCTATAGTTTTGGTTTTAGAATTTTACATACACATAAGTCTTTGAAAACTTTGAGCTACTTTTGCTATAATGGACTTTTCAAAGCAAATTCATATCAGTACAAAGTTCAGGATCTGAATTTGTACCATGCACGGTAATGCATTTTGTTTGCTATACAAGAACGCCAAGCCAAGGGTGAGCAGGGGTCAAAATCCAGTTGTAGTACATTTTCTTATGAGGTCTTGTTCCCAGGAGAGAGCCCGCTTTCCCTAATTTACAAAAAGGTACTAAATGGGCTAGTGGTGGCCCTAATGAACAAAATTTCCCAGATGAAATCATAATACACAGAGGACATTATACTACACTTAAAGCTAAAACCCCAAAGCAAAATGCAAATAAAAAAACATATATGTAAAAACAACACCAAAAACCATATATATAGAGAATGTTAAATCATTACAAATTATACCTTGAGCCCGGCTGATGAGGCTCAGTGGACTGAGCGTCCTCATGTGAACTGAGAAGTCCCAGTTCAATTCCCCGTCAAGGCACATGCCTGAGTTGCGGGCTTGGTCCCCAGTAGGGGTTGTGCAGGAGGCAGCTGATGGATGTTTCTCTCTCACATGGATGTTTCTTTCTCTCCCTTCTCTCTCAAAAAGAAAAATCAATAAAAACATATATTTTTAAAAAAAATTGTACCTCTGGCCCAGCCAGTGTGGCCCACTGGTTGAGTGTCGACCCAGGCACCAAGAGGTTGCCGGTTCAATTCCCAGTCAGGGCACATGCCCAGGTTGTGGGCCCAATCCCCAGTGGAGGCATGCAGGAGGTGGCCAATCAACGTTCTCTCTCATCGATGTTTCTATCTCTCTCTCTCTCTCCCTTCCTCTCTCTAAAAATCAATAAATAAAAAGTATTAAAAGAAAAAAGTTGTACCTCTGAACTTCTCCCCAAGCATATGATCTTTCCTTAAAGAGAAAAACTATCCGTTTCGAGTGCTACCCTTGAAAGCCTAGACAGAAGAGGTAAAAAAAGGCAGTATGCTATTAAAAGCTATTTTAAAAGAAAAGAATGAAATTGATAAAGACTATTATACTTCATTCATTAAACTTTTAGTATTCAATTATATCCTAAAACTAAATAACCAAATCAGCTGAAATATATTCTGAGCAATGGACAGGGACTCTTTTTAAAGTCGCTCCATGGATGTTCTAATTTAAAGAATGAAATTGCAGAAACAGTATGGCTAAGCAATAAATGTTACTATAAACAATGGTGCCTCCAACATATAACCCAAAGTAGACTTTAGACCATTTTAAAAGTATGCGCAACTCATAAAATAAGCACAGAAGTAATCTGACTTTTTAGATTTTAGCAAACAAATCCAATTTAGGGATAACAACACGTCAGGACCATGGGGGAATATATATATAATATTTCTGGCATCTGCCTCAGCTATTATGTAATTCTCTTCATGATGTTCAAAGTTTCACTGACTGTTACCTGGAAGAGTTCCTAAAACCTACGATTGGTTACTATAACCAACAAAAACTATAACATGTGCTTTGGAAACATAAATTTAAAAGATGGTACAGATCAGCTCTGGCCTGTTTGGCTCAGCGGTTAGAGCATCGACCTGTGGTCCTGAGAGACCTGAGGGTTCGGTTCCCGCTAAGGGCATGTACCTCAGTTGCAGTTTGTCCCCGGCCCTGGTTGGTCATGCGGGTGGCAGCCACTTGATGTGTCCCTTTCACATCGATGTTTCTCTCTCTCTCTCTCTCTCCCCCCCCCCTCTCCCTCCCACTCTATCTGAACAAAAAAAAAAGGAAAAATGTCCTCAGGTGAGGATAAAAAAATAAATAAAAGAGGGTACAGATCAGAAAATTGGTCAGTATAAAGATAAGACATCATCAATGTTGAAATATGAATATTAAAAAACATAATGCAAAGTTACTCTGACACTTAGAAAGAAATTACCTGTAGTTCAGGAACTCAAATTATGCCTACCAATGTTTTTATAAAGGATTATCACACAAATAGTATCAATAACACACAAGGACAATGGGAAGCATTACTATTTACAAAATTAACATAAGAGGTCAAGAAAAAAACAAAAACTTGGGCAAGTAATTCTAAAACAGTATTTAAACAAACTCTTTACCTTATACTTGTTAATAGGTCTTGATCTTTTAAAAATAAATCCATAGGGCAATAGTATCTATATTTCAGTCATGTCTCTTCTCGAGTCTTCCTTTTAGTCACAAATCAAATTCTATGATATAGAAGTAGCGGCCCGGCCGGTGTGGCTCAGTGGTTGAGCATCGACCCATGCACCAAGAGGTCGCTGGTTCAATTCCCAGTCAGGGCACATGCCCAGGTTGTGGGCCCGATCCCCAGTGGGGGGCATGCAGGAGGCTGCCGATCCCCAGTGGGAGGCATGCAGGAGGCGGCCGGTCAATGTTCTCTCTCATCGATGTTTCTATCTCTCCCTCTCTCTCTAAAACCCAATAAAGAAAAAAATATTTAAAAAAAAAAAAGAAGAAGAAGTAGCGGAATACTATTTATGCATCACTGTGTGACAACTACATAGTCTAAAGTAAATCTCCCGACCTTCTAGTAAGCAAAGATCTTAACTGGAGATGAAGAGGACGAAAACGTCACAAAGAAAAATTTAGAAAGGATTTGCCAAGGTTAGGAGCTAAAGTTTCTGCCAGCTTTTAGCATTCCTTGTTATGCATGCTTCAGGGCTGTTTTAACTACTATTACCTTCCCATCTGCTTTTTAACAGAAGGAAACAATACCAGGTGCCTTCTACAAGAGAAGGCGAACAGAGATTGAGTTTTTGCTTATAAGGAATAAGTAGACTACTTAGGTGTATACAAAGTTAAAGGAAATAAAATAGATTGCTTTATGTGATTTTTTTCAAATATACATAGATTAATATAATGTTGTCCTTCTATTACTTGTGAATTGTATAGTAGTTAGCACTGAGAAATATAAAGTGTCTATGTAAGCTAATGACTAGAATATTTAGAAAAGAGAAGAGCCATAAAACCTTTACTGAATTATAGAAAAAAGTGAGCACCTAACTTCCAAGATCTCTAAAATTAGATCTTTATTATTTTCCTTTCAGACCTCATGTAGGGGGAGAAATTATAAATGACTGTAAAGAAATAATGAACAGATGGCATTGAGAAGTCACCATCTGTATCCTGGTAGGCTGTATAGCCCAAGTGTACCTCCAACTCTAATGGTGGCTGAACTCTATGTTGTCAGTATACTTGTCTAGAGAAGGAAAAATTCCTTCTAATGATCAACTGTCATTACTAGTTTTTCAGATGCAAGAGACAGGACAGAGAGAAAACTATCATTACTAAACAATTTGATGTCATTAATAAGAATTCAATTCCATTAAGAAGCAATTAAATAATAAGTTATTTGTAAGAACTGATAAATAATCTAATAATGAATCTGTGTGTGTTTCCATGTCTGTGTAGTAATGACAGTCCTTAACAATTAGCAAGTGTTTGAAAGTGATGAGAGCAAGGAGAAGGATGACGACAGGAGTGTAGTTTTATTTTTTTAACATTGTTAAATGCTACTGTAGAAGTGTTGAAGTGTGAAGCAGGAATCTGAAGCTGTCATCTGTCTCATTATGATGACTGCGCTCAAGCATTATGTGGTAATTCATTTGTTATAGACTGGTTTAATCTCCTCTATTATTTGAGACGCACCATTTAACAGGAAAAAGTATAAATTTAATCCTAAACATGCCTAACTGGTAGGGCTCAGTGGCTGAGCATCAATACCATGAACCAAGAGGTCAATGGTTTGATTCCCAGTCAGGGCACATGCCTGAGTTGTGGGCTTGATCCTCAAGAGGGGGTGTGCAAGAGGCAACCAAGCGATCCATGTTTCTCTCATTGATATTTCTATCTCTCTCCCTCTCCCTTCCTCTCTCTAAAAATAAATTTTAAAAAACAACAACAACAACAAATTTAATCCTAAACAAAGGAATTTTTCTCAATATGTACTATTTATATATAATATTAACACAAGGATTCTTATTCTGGGGTTAACATATCTCTGAAATTACATGCAAAATAGTCTATATATACAACATTTTACTGGGAAGAACATCAAAACCGTTATCAAATTTTCAGGGAGTTTAGAACCCAAGGAAGTAAAAGTTAATTCCAAGGAAGGCAAGAGAAAATTAAAAGTGTGTGCTGAGGAGAGTGGAGTAGAAATAGAAAGATGAAACTCTTTTAACAATTTCAAAATTCTTAACATAAACTTTCTTCAGTTTTCTTTCTTACTCTGAACTCTTAGCTACATTCACATTCTTCTTCCAGGAAACAACAACAAGAAACTAGGGTACAATTTTTAACTATTACTGAAATAAAGTAATAATACAAATTAGATATTTCCTATAACTCTTTTCAACATAAAATACTGAGATTAATCAGAATCACGTTAGCTTCATATTGTTCTAGAGTTCTCTATTTTAAAAATATTTTTGTTTAAGGATATAGATATAATAATAGACTGAGGAGAAAGTCTGAACAGATGTGAATATATGTTTGTAAAATCTAAATGTTAAGGCTAATGGAAGGCAGTGAAGAGACAACACAGAGGCCAGGGCAGCACACAGGC